TCCCAGTTGTGAGGACCTCCTTCTCCAAACACAGAGGAGAGTCACCATCTGTATGACCACATTAGTAGTAATAGTAGTAGTAGCTTGTTGTTGTTGTTTGGAGTCCAGGGAGCCTTGGCTCAAGCCAGACCCCATAAAGCCGCCTCAGCCCCACCACCACCACCACCACCACCATCATCATCATCATCATCATCATCATCATGGCCTCCCAGTTGTGAGGACCTCCTTCTCCAAACACAGAGGAGAGTCACCATCTGTATGACCACATTAGTAGTAATAGTATTGTTGTTGTTGTTGTTTGGAGTCCAGGGAGCCTTGGCTCAAGCCAGACCCCATAAAGCCGCCTCAGCCCCACCACCACCACCACCACCACCACCATCATCATCATCATCATCATGGCCTCCCAGTTGTGAGGACCTCCTTCTCCAAACACAGAGGAGAGTCATCATCTGTATGACCACATTAGTAGTAATAGTAGTAGTAGCTTGTTGTTGTTGTTGTTGTTTGGAGTCTATTGAGCCTTGGATCGAGCCAGACCCCATAAGGCCGCCCCAGCCCCCTTTCCAAGGGCCTCTCCTTCCCCGCAGTGCCCCCCCTCCATCCAACCCCATCTGCAAGAGCCCCCTTCTGCAAACAGCCCCCCAGGTCTGCCCCAGTTTTGCTGGGCAACCTCTTTGCAGACAAAAGAGGACAAACAGGGAAAGAGCGAGAGCGAGGGAGGGAGGGAGGGAGGCAGGCAGGCGGTGATGCCAAAAAACGGACGACAAAAGGGAAGCGAGGCATAACGAAGCCTTGGCATTGCACACACCCCCCCCCCCCCCCAAATAAAATAATCCTGGGAGCAGCTGGGACCTCTCTTTGCATTTTTTTCTGGGAAGGAGGAGGAGGAGGGGAGGGGACCGGCCCATGGCCAGCGGGATTGGCCTCCCCAGTGGGACAAAGGGGCCACAAGGAGTAGCCCGGTAGCCATGGCACCCCCCCGCGTGCCCCCCTTCCAAGCCCCCGGTCCCATTGGCCGCCTCGGCAGGCTTTGCATTCCTCCTGCGTTTGGAGGCACACAAAAGGGAGAACAGGCCGAGGGAGAAATCGGGGGAATTGCAAGTTTATGGGATGGAAGCTATTTGCAGAGCACGGGTCCCCAACCTGTGGTTCAAACTCTGCACAGGATCCCACACGGTTGCATCAGGGTGCATCTACACTAGAGAACTAATGCACATCAGCACCACTTTAGCTAAGGAATCGATGCTAAGGAATCCTGGTGAGATGTTATTGACGCAACCCACACGGTGGAATGAATGCAGTTTGGCACCATAAGTGTCGTTGCACAAGTGTGAGACTTTTCTGCCTCTCCAAACTCCAAGTCCCGGGATCCCACAGCCTTGAAGAGGAACCAAACCGCATTCATTCCACAATGCAGATGCGCCCATGCTGAGAGCCGAGTTTGAAACCTCATTCAGGCATGGAAACACACTACAGAGGTCACACACTCTCAGCCTCAGAGGGGAAGGCAAGGACAAAAGTCCTTGGGATTCCAAAGCTGAGTCTTATTGTATCATGGGAGTTGTAGTTTTCCAAGGCTTCTTCCCTTCCCGTAAGAGTCTATTGCATCACGGGAGTTGTAGTTTTCCAAGGCTTCTAGCTTTCCCTTCCCATAAGATTGCATCATGGGAGTAGTAGTTTTCCAAGGCTTCTACCCTTCTTGTAAGGGTCTTATTGCATCATTGGAGTTGTAGTTTTCCAAGGCTTCTAGCCTTCCCTTCCCATAAGAGTCTTATTGTATCATGGGAGTTGTAGTTTTCCAAGGCTTCTAGTCTTCCCTTCCCATAAGAGTCTTATTGCATCATTGGAGTTGTAGTTTTCCAAGGCTTCTAGCTTTCCCTTCCCATAAGAGTCTTATTGTATCATGGGAGTTGTAGTTTTCCAAGGCTTCTAGCCTTCCCTTCCCATAAGGACTAATTGCATCATGGGAGCTGTAGTTTTCCAAGGCTTTTAGCCTTCCTTTCCCATAAGGGTCTAAGTGCATCATGGGAGCTGTAGTTTTCAAAGGCTTCTAGCTTTCCCTTACCGTAAGGATCTTATTGCATCACGGGAGTTGTAGTTTTCTAAGGCTTTGTAGCCTTCCCTTTCCATAAGGGTCTTATTGCATCATGGGGGTTGTAGTTTTCCAAGGCTTCTAGCCTTCCCTTTCCATAAGGGTCTTATTGTATCATGGGAGCTGTAGTTTTCCAAGGCTTCTAGTCTTCCCATAAGGGTCTAATTGCATCATGGGACTTGTAGTTTTCCAAGGCTCCCCATAAGGATCTGATCAAATGGAGGGGCAGTTAACACACCTCGGCCCTCCATCTGCTCCCCCCAAAGCACCCCCCCTTTTCCTTCTCCCATTATTATTTATTCATCCCTCGCACATCGTTAGGAAGCACTTAACGGGCTCATTAAGGGCCAGGGATGATCTCAGCCAGCCGGCCTTATTAATTCCCAAGGCCCCCTTCCGCCATCTGTCCACAAATCGCTACGCTCACGGCCCTCCCTCCCCGCCTTTTCCCAGCTTCTCTTTGCTTCTCTTCCGCACCATTAACGGAGTCGGATGCCCTCAAATCCGGCACAACGGCCCTGCGAGGCGGGACGGCCCTACTCCAGGCAGAAGGAACAGACCGTTGAATATGAGAACCGGGCCCCTCAAGAGCACAGAATCCTAGAGTTGGGAGGGAGGGCCCCCAAAGGCCATCCAGTCCAACTCCCTTCGGCCAGGACACCACGCAATCTGTCCTGACAGATGGCCATTCAGCCTTTGATTCAAAACAGGCAGATTCCCAGGCAGAGGCATGTTTCGCTGTTGAATATCTTTGCCTGATAGGAAGTTCCTCCGAAGTTTCAACTGGAATCTCTTTTCCTGCCGTTTGCACACACGATTCCAAAGCTCTGAGACATCGCACTTCAAGTGGTGTCAAACCGCATTATTTTCGCAGTGTAGACGCACCCCAAGACTGGACCCAGATAAAGAAAGGACTGCGCAAAATGGGCAGAAGGCCTGCAAAGGCCATCCGGACAAGGCAAATTCCCCAGGAAAGGTGCAGTGGTTCCCATGTCCATGCTTTCCTCAAGCAGGAAGGAGGGAAGGAAGGAAGGAAAAGGAAAAGGAAAAGAAGGGACAGAAAGCAGGGAGGGGGGAATGAAGGGAGAGAGAGAAGGGAAGGGAAGGGGGAAGGAAGGAAGGAAGGAGAAAGATAGAAGAAGGGAAGGAAAGAACAAGGAGGGAGGGTGAAAAGGAAGCTAAAACAGTAAAGGGAGGAAGGAGAAAGAAAGGGAAGAAAAAGGAAGAAAAGTGTGGAAGGAAAGGAGGGAGGGAGATGGGAATAGAGAGAGGAAGGAAAATGTGGAAGAAAGGAAAAGGAAAAGGAGGGATAGAGAGGGAAAAGAAGGGAAGGAAGCAAAATGTGGAAGGAAAGGAGGGAGGAAAATGTGGAAGGAAAGAAAAGGAAAAAGAGGGAAGGAGGAAATGAAAGTAGGGAAGGAAGGAAAGGAGGGAAAAGGAGAGGGAGGGAGGAGAAAAGAAAGAGGGAGGAAAGAGAAAGGAAAGGGAAAAGGGGGAAGGAAGAAAGAGAAACGAAAGAAGGGAAGTAAGGAAGAAGAAAGGAAAGGAAGAGAAGGAAAGAAAAGGGGAAAGGAGGACAGGAGGGAAGAGAAGCTAAAGAAGGGAAGGGAGGAAGCAAAGTGTGGAAGGAAAGGAGGGAGGGAGGAAAATGTGGAAGAAAGAAAAGGAAAAAGAGGGAAGGAGGAAATGAAAGTAGGGAGGGAAGGAAAGGAAGGAAAAGAATGAGAGGGAAGGAGGAGAAAGAAAAAGAGAGCAAAAGAGGAAAAGAAAGGGAGGGGGAAGGGGAAAAGAGAAACTAAAGAAGGGAAAAGGAAAAAGAAGAAAGGAAAGAAGAGAAGGAAAAAGGAAAGGGAAAGGAGGAAAGGAGGAAGAGAAGCTAAAGAAGGGAAGGGAGGAAGCAAAGTGTGGAAGGAAAGGAGGGAAGGGAGGAAAGTGGAAGGAGAGAAAGAAAGAAGGGAGGAAAGAAGAGGGAGGGAGGGAAAGGAGGGAAAAAGGGGAGGGAAGAGGAAGAGAAAGAAAGAGGGAGGGAAAGGGAAAGAAGGAAAAGGGGAAGGGAAGGGAAGGGAAGCTCAATGGGGAGGAAGCAAAGTGTGGAAGGGAGGGAGGGAGGAAAATGTGGAAGGAAACAAAAAGGAAGAAAGAAGGAGTGAGAAGAAGAAGGAAGGAGAAAGAAAGAAAGAAAGAAAGAAAGAAAGAAAGAAAGAAAGATGGAGGGAGGGAGGAGGGAGAAAGAGAAGAGAAGGAAGGGAAGTATGGAAGGAAAGGAAGGAGGGAGGAGGAAGGAAGGAGGAGAAAAGGAAGGAAAAAAGGAAAGAAGGAGGGCAAAAAGAAAAGAAAGAAAGAAAGAAAGAAAGAAAGAAAGAAAGAAAGAAAGACAAAAGGAGAAAGAAGAAAGGAAAAGAAGGAAAGGAAGGAAGAGAAGGAAGAGGAAGGAAGAAGGAAGGAAGGAAGGAAGGAAGGAAGGAAGGAGGAAGGAAGAGGAAGAAAATGGGAAGAAAAAAGGAAGAAGGAGGAGAAAAGAAATGAAGGAATTTAGAAAGAAAGGGGGAGGGAAAGAGGAAAGAAGGAAGGGAAGTATGGAAGGAAAGGAAGGAGGGAGGAGGGAAGGAAGGAAGGAAGGAAGGAAGGAAGGAAGGAAGGAAGGAAGGAAGGAAGGGAGGGAGGGAGGGAGGAAGGAAAGAAGGAAATAAAAGGAAATGGAAGGAGCCTCCTCTTCCTTGCGGGATCCAGCACTGCAATGCTGGTGTGTGTGCTTTCCTTCATGGCAGAAGGGGGTTGGACTAGATGGCCTTTGGGTGCCCCTCGCAACTCTAGGATTCAGTCTCTGGAAGAGATGTAAACACAGGTTGAACGGGATACCGTGGTTGGGCCAAGAAGGGCTGGGCTGGATGTCCTTAGGGTGCCCTACCTGGGAACTGGAGGGGGATGTCGATCTTGGGCCCCACCACGTAGTGTCCCTCCTCCAGGCTGTGGGCGGTGACGGTAGTCCACTGGCGGCAGGAGTGGAGCAGCAGTGCTTCCTGGTCACCCAGGCCCTCCACGCACTCGCCTGCAGCGGGAGAGGAAGCGGAAGGACAACATGCATTAGAAGCAGGGAAAGGACCCCCAAAGGTCATCTAGTCCAGGCATGGTCCAACTTGGGCCCTCCCTCCAGGGGTTCTGGACTACAACTCCCACCATTCCTAACAGCCGGTAGGCTGTTAGGAATGGTGGGAGTTGTAGTCCAGAACACCTGGAGGGAGGGCCCAAGTTGGACCATGCCTGGACTAGATGCACATAATGCCCACCAAACATTTCCCAGGGGGAGCCACCCCTCCATCCCTCCATCCATCCGTCCGTCCATCCATCCATCCCTCCATCCTCGGCTTCTCCTCCGTCCAGCTGGTTGCCAAGAGGGACCGGTTGCCCCGGCAACGGCGCTTTGTTCGTGCTCAGTGGCCAGGGATGGAGGGCCCCAAAAGGCTGCCTGGAAGAGCGGCTCCATTGAGGGCGAATCTGGGCCAAGCGGGCAGCCGGCCAGCCCAGGAGTCCCAAGGCCAGGGCTGAAGGAGGAAGGGAGGGAGGAAGGAGGGAGGGAGGGAGGAGAGAAGGAGGGAGGAAGGAAGGAAGGAAAGAAGGAAGGAGGGAAGGAAGGAAGGAAGGAAGGAAGGAAGGAAGGAAGGAAGGAAGGAAGGAAGGAAGAAAGGAAGGAAGGAGGGAAGGCAGAGGAAAGAAGGAAGGGAGGGAGAAGAAGAAGGAAGGAGAGGAAAGAAAGGAGGGAAGGAGGAAGGGGAGAAGGAAAGAAGGAAGGAGGAAGGAAGAAAGGAGGAAGGGAGGGAGGAAGGGAGGGAGGGAGGAAGGAAGGAAGGGAGGGAGGACGGAAGGAAGGAAGGAAGGAAGGAAGGAAGGAAGGAAGGAAGGAAGGAAGGAAGGAAGGAAGGAGGAGGAGGGAGGGAGGGAGGGAGGGAGGGAGGGAGGAAGGGAGGGAAGGGAGGGAGGAGGGAAGGAGGAAGGAGAGAAGGAGGAAAGGAAGGGAGGGAGGAAGGAAGGAAGGAAGGAAGGAAGGAAGGAAGGAAGGAAGGAAGGAAGGAGAGAAGGAGAGAAGGAAGGGAGGAAGGAGAGAAGGTGGGAGAAGGAAGGAAGGAAGGAAGGAAGGAAGGAAGGAAGGAAGGAAGGAGAAGGAAGGAAGGAAAGAGAGAAGGAGGGAAGGAAGGAAGGAGGAAGGAAGGAAGGAAGGATAGAAGGAAGGGGGAGGGAGGGAGGGAGGAAAGAAGGGAGGGAGAGAGGGAGAAAGGGAGACAAGGAGGAAGGAAGGAGTGAAAGAAGGAAGGCAGGAAAGAAGGAGAGAAGAAGGAGAGGAAGAGGGGGGTGGTAGGAAAGTAAGGAGGGAAGGAAAAAGAAAAAGGAAGGAGAAAAGGAAGGAAGGAAGGAAGAAGGAAGGAAGGAAGGAAGGAAGAAGGAAGGAAGAAAAGAAAGAAGAAGAAAGAGAAGAAAGGAAAGAAGGAAGGAAGGAAAAGAGGAGGAAGGAGAAAGAAGGGAGGAGGGAGGAAAAGGAAGGAAAAAGAAGGAAGGAAGAGAGAAAGAAGAAAAGGCAGGAAAGAAGGAAGGAAAGAAGGAAGGGAACCAAGAAGGAAGAAAGCAGAGAAAGAAGAAAGGCAGGAAAGAAAGAAGGAAAGAAGGAAGGGAAGAAAGAAGGAAAAGTGAGGGAAGGAGGAAGGAAGGAAAGAAGGAGAGAAGGAAGGAAGGAAAAGGGGGAAGGAGGAAGAAAGGAAGGAAGGAAGGCAGGCAGGCAAGAAGGAAGGAAGGAAAGAAGGGAGAAAGAAGGAAGGAAATGAGAGAAGGAAGGAAGGAAAAGGGGGAAGAGGAAGAAAGGAAGGAAGGAAGGAAAGAAAGGGAAGGAAGGAAGGAAGGAAAGGGAAGGAAGGAAGGAAGGAAAGGGAAGGAAGGAAGGAAGGAAGGAAGGAAGGAAGGAAGGAAGGAAGGAAGAAGGAAGGAAGGAAGGAAGGAAGGCAGGCAGGCAGGCAGGCAGGCAGGCAGAAGGAGGGAGGGAGGAGAGGAGAGGAGGAGGAGGAAAAGGAAGGGGAAGGAGGAAAAAAGGAAGGAAGAAAGAAGAAGGAAGGAAGGAAGGAGGGAGGAGGAGAGAAAAGAAGGGAAAGAGGAAGGAAAGGAAGGAAGGAAGGAAAAGGGAGGGATGAAAGAATGGAGGAAGGGAGGGCGGGAGGGAGGGAGGGAGGGAGGGAGGGAGGGAGGGAGGGAGGAAGGAAGGAAGGAAGGAAGGAAGGAAGGAAGGAAGGAAGGAAGGAAGGAGGCAGGCAGGCCAGAGATGGAAGAGACTGGGCGTATCTCGCCTGCCTTTGAAGGAGAGGGCATGGCTGTTGGGTCTCTGCTTCCTTGGCCACCAACATTGAGGAAGGCCTTCCTAATCACAGGCCTTGGGCATCTTCTAAAGTACAGAACCATAGAGACAAAAGGGACCTCCAAGGGCTATCCAGTCCAACCTCCTTCTGCCAGGCAGGAAGGTAGGACTGAGCGCCCCCCCCCCCCCAAAGTCTCAACTGTGTTGAGTCTCAACCACTTCAACCTTGGTTGTTTTTGTGGCTGCCACAAAGTTTCTGGAGCAAAACAACCACTTCCAAAGACCACACAAGTAAACAGGAAATAATACTTGGGATATAGAATGGGACCCATCCCAATAGAGTGGGACGGGCCCCCCAAGGCCATCCAGTCCAACCCCTTTTCATCCAGGCAAGAAGCCCCCATCCAAGCCCTCCCTGCAGATGGCCACCCAGGGCAGAAGACTTGGAAGGGCCTCCAAAGGCCAGCCAGTCCAACTTCAGCCTGCAAAGCATGGAGGGATGGGGGTCTTGTGAGTGGAAGTCTCCCCTCTGCTCCCAATGTAGACCTCCTCTGCCCAGGTGCCATGAGGGCCCAGGTGGGACATGGCCGCACACCTGTGGACCCAAAGCACTGGACCTGAAGGGGAGCCTGGATATGCCTTTCAGATGGCGTGCCCCCAAAACAAGGCACCTCTTATATCTTCTCCCCCCCTCCCAAACATCAAAGACCCCATACATCCCTGGCTGTAACTCAAAGGGAGGGTTTGGGGGAGAAGGCAGGGGGACAATGGGCTGCAACCTGTCTCCTTAAAGACCCCCCAAAGCTCTTCAAGGCACCCACAAATGGCTGGCAACTATAGCCCTCTCAAAGGCACCCACAGCATCCACTCAATAATAAGGTGGTTTACATTATCTGGGTGGAGGCCACGAGGGGGCGCTAGAGATACCGATGATGATGATGATGATGATGATGATGATGATGATGGTGGTGGTGGTGGTGATTGTAAGGACAGGGGTCTCCAGAGGAGGAGGAAGAGATGATGATGATGATGATGATGATGATGATGATGATGATTGGTTGGAAGGGCAGAGGTCTCCAGAGAAGAAGAAGAAGAAGAAGAAGAAGAAGAAGAAGAAGAAGAAGAAGAAGAAGAGGAGGAGGAGGAGGAGGAAGAGGAGGAGGAGGAGGAAGGAGGAGGAGGAGAGGAGGAGGAGGAGGAGGAGGAGGGAGGAGGAAGGAGGAAAGGAAAGGAAAGAAAGGAGGAGAAGGAGAAGGGAAAGATTATGATTGGTCAGAAGGACAGGTCTCCAGAGAAGGAAGAGGAGGAGGAGGAAGGGAAGAGAAAGGAAAGAGAGGTGGAGGAAGAGGAGGAGGAGAAAGAGGAGGAGAGGAGGAGGAGGAGGAGGAGGAGGAGGAGGAGGCAGAGGAGGAGGAGGAGGAGGAGGAGGAAGGAGAGAGGAGGAGGAGGAGGAGGAGAGGAGAAGGAGAAGGAGGAGAAGGAGAAGAATGAGATGTTAGAAGGACAGGGGTCTCCAGAGAAGAAAGAGGAGGAGGAGGATGAGAAGGAGAAGGAGGAGGAGGAGGAGATGGAGATTGGTTGGAAGGACAGAGATCTCTGGAGAAGAAGAAAAAGAAGAAGAAGGAGAATACCACAGAGGAGAAGAAGATGATGATTGGTTGGAAGGACAGGGGTCTCCAGAGGAGGAGGAGGAGGAGGAGATGATGAAGATGATGATGATGATTGGTTGGAAGGACAGAAGTCTCCAGAGAAGAAGAAAAAGGAGGAGGAGGAGGAGGAGGAGAAGGAGATGGTGTTTGGTTGGAAAGACAGGGGTCTCCAGAGAAGGAGGAAGAGATGATGAATGATGATGATGGTGATGTTTGGTTGGAAGGACAGAGGTCTCCGGAAAAGAAGAAGAAGAAGAAGAAGAAGAAGAAAGAGAACACAAAGAAGGAGAAGGAAGAGAAGGAGAAGATTATGATTGGTTAGGACAAGGATCTCCAGAGAAGAGGAGGAGGAGGAGGAGGAGGATGAGAAGGAGGAGGAGGGGGGGGAGAGAGATTGGTTGGAAGGACAGAGTTCTCCGGAGAAGAAGAAAGGAGAAGAAGAACACCATGGAGGAGATGGAGAAGATGATGATTGGTTGGAAGGACAGGGGTCTCCACAGAAGGAAGAGGAAGAGGAGGGGGGGATGATGATGATGATGATGATGATTGGTTGGAAGGACAGAGGTCTCCAGAGAAGAAGAATAAGGAGAAGGTGGTGGTGGAGGAGAAGATGATGATTGGTTGGAAGGACAGGGGTCTCCACAGAAGGAAGAGGAAGAGGAGGGGATGATGATGATGATGATTGGTTGGAAGGACAGGGGTCTCCACAGAAGGAAGAGGAAGAGGAGGGGATGATGATGATGATGATGATTGGTTGGAAGGACAGAGGTCTCCAGAGAAGAAGAATAAGGAGAAGGTGGTGGTGGTGGTGGAGGAGAAGATGATGATTGGTTGGAAGGACAGGGGTCTCCACAGAAGGAAGAGGAAGAGGAGGGGATGATGATGATGATGATGATTGGTTGGAAGGACAGAGGTCTCCAGAGAAGAAGAATAAGGAGAAGGTGGTGGTGGTGGTGGAGGAGAAGATGATGATTGGTTGGAAGGACAGGGGTCTCCACAGAAGGAAGAGGAAGAGGAGGGGATGATGATGATGATGATGATTGGTTGGAAGGACAGAGGTCTCCAGAGAAGAAGAATAAGGAGAAGGTGGTGGTGGTGGTGGAGGAGAAGATGATGATTGGTTGGAAGGACAGGGGTCTCCACAGAAGGAAGAGGAAGAGGAGGGGATGATGATGATGATGATGATGATTGGTTGGAAGGACAGAGGTCTCCAGAGAAGAAGAATAAGGAGAAGGTGGTGGTGGTGGTGGAGGAGAAGATGATGATTGGTTGGAAGGACAGGGGTCTCCACAGAAGGAAGAGGAAGAGGAGGGGATGATGATGATGATGATGATTGGTTGGAAGGACAGAGGTCTCCAGAGAAGAAGAATAAGGAGAAGGTGGTGGTGGAGGAGAAGATGATGATTGGTTGGAAGGACAGGGGTCTCCACAGAAGGAAGAGGAAGAGGAGGGGATGATGATGATGATGATGATGATTGGTTGGAAGGACAGAGGTCTCCAGAGAAGAAGAATAAGGAGAAGGTGGTGGTGGTGGTGGAGGAGAAGATGATGATTGGTTGGAAGGACAGGGGTCTCCACAGAAGGAAGAGGAAGAGGAGGGGATGATGATGATGATGATGATTGGTTGGAAGGACAGAGGTCTCCAGAGAAGAAGAATAAGGAGAAGGTGGTGGTGGTGGTGGAGGAGAAGATGATGATTGGTTGGAAGGACAGGGGTCTCCACAGAAGGAAGAGGAAGAGGAGGGGATGATGATGATGATGATGATTGGTTGGAAGGACAGAGGTCTCCAGAGAAGAAGAATAAGGAGAAGGTGGTGGTGGTGGTGGAGGAGAAGATGATGATTGGTTGGAAGGACAGGGGTCTCCACAGAAGGAAGAGGAAGAGGAGGGGATGATGATGATGATGATGATGATTGGTTGGAAGGACAGAGGTCTCCAGAGAAGAAGAATAAGGAGAAGGTGGTGGTGGTGGTGGAGGAGAAGATGATGATTGGTTGGAAGGACAGGGGGTCTCCACAGAAGGAAGAGGAAGAGGAGGGGATGATGATGATGATGATTGGTTGGAAGGACAGAGGTCTCCAGAGAAGAAGAATAAGGAGAAGGTGGTGGTGGTGGTGGAGGAGAAGATGATGATTGGTTGGAAGGACAGGGGTCCCCAGAGAAGAAAAAGAAGGAGGAGGGGAAGATGATATTTGGCCATCTGTTGAGGCTGCTTTGATTGTGTTTTTCCTGCATGAAGGCAGAAGGGGGTTGGACTAGATGGGCTCAAGAGTTCTCTTCCAACTCCATTATGATTAATCTATGATTCCGAGAGGGAAGGGCAGGGGTCTCCAGAGAGGATGATGATGAAGATGATAACTTGATGATGATGATGATGATGATGATGATGATGATGATGATAACTGGTTGGCAGCACCACCTCCCCCCCCCCCCCCTTCCCTTGCCCCCAAATTAGGATGCCAAGCGAGCCTGAGCATCCCTTCTTTCCCAAAAGTGGTGGTGGTGGGGGGCGCCCCATGCTGGGCACTGAGCCAAGAGGAGGGGGGGGCAAAGAAAGAGGGGAGGGGGGCATGGAGCTCAGGAGGGACCCCGACTCATCCAAACCCCCCAATAAAAAAACTCCCCCCCCCCAAAAAAAGGCTTCAAACAACAGGAAAGAAAGCCCCCCCCCCCCCAAGTTTGGCTCTAAAAGCCGCACGAAGCCCTCAGACGCCCCCCCCCCCAATTTAAAGAGATACAAAGAGGGGTGAAGGAAGGGAAGCTCAAAGGGGGGGGGGCGAGACACACACCCACACCCACCCCCTTTAGAAAAGTGTCCCAGAGAGAGAGAGACCCCCCCCCCAAGAAAATGATGAGTCTCACCGGGGGCGGGTCGGACCAAAGTGGGGAGGGGGAGGCCGGCCACGATGCGGTCCAAAGGCAAGGGGGGGCCGGGGCTCCACGGGAGGCGGGAGAGAGCCCACCAGACCCGCTCCATCCTCCAAGGGAAGACCCCCAAAGAAGGGGAAGAAGGAGGGAGGGAGGGGAGGAGGGAGGGGAGGGGGGAGGAGGGGGAGGAGCAGCCCCCCCCCGCGCCCCACGCGTGCACTTCCGCCCAGGAGGGAATCCCCACGCCACCAGGGGGCGGGACTTGTGGAGAAGAGGGAGGGGGGAGGGAGGGAAGGAGGGAAAGAGGGAGGGGGCTCACCTGGGGATGCTCAAGGGAGGGACCCCCTTGAAGGAGAAGGGGGAGGGGGCATCAAAGTGTGAAAGGGAGGCATAAGCAAGACACAGGCTGGATGTCCATCTGTCCAGATGAGGGTTTTTTTGAAGTTTACAACATTTGTTATAGAACTCCAATATGCTGATGACAACGTCGTCTGTGCGCATTCAGAAGAAGACAACTCTCAACACCTTCGCAGAAGCAGACGAGAAGCTCGGCCTCTCATTGAACGTCGAGAAAACCAAAGTGCTCTTATTGAGGCCAAACACAAAACTCCCTGCCTTCAAGTTGATCTGACCCGCAGCAGGGAGTTCCTCAGTTCTCCATTGCCCCACTTATTAAGATCATCTGGGGGGGCCCTGCTCTCAGTCCCACCACCTTCGCAATCACATTCGGTGGGGACGAGGGACAGGGCCTTCTCGGTGGTGGCTCCCCGGCTTTGGAACTCCCTCCCACTAGAGATTAGATCTGCTCCCTCCCTCCTGACTTTCAGGAAACTAATAAGGACCTGGCTCAGGAGGAAGGGAGGGAAGGAGGGAGGGAGGGGGCTCACCTGGGGATGCTCAAGGGAGGGACCCCCTTGAAGGAGAAGGGGAGGGGGCATCAAAGTGTGAAAGAGGGGCATAAGCAAGACACAGGCTGGATGTCCATCTGTCCAGATGAGCTTTTTTTTGAAGTTTACAACATTTGTTATAGAACTCCAATATGCTGATGACAACGTCGTCTGTGCGCATTCAGAAGAAGACAACTCTAAACACCTCCGCAGAAGCAGACGAGAAGCTCGGCCTCTCATTGAACGTCGAGAAAACCAAAGTGCTCTTATTGAGGCCGAACACGGAACTCCCTGCCTTCATGTTGATCTGACCTGCAGCAGGAAGTTCCTCAGTTCTCCATTTATTTAGGTTCTTGTGGGTTTTTTCGGGCTATAGGGCCATGTTCTAGAGGCATTCTCTCCTGACGTTTCGCCTGCATCTATGGCAAGCATCCTCAGAGGTAGTGAGGTCTGTTGGAACTAGGACAATGGGTTTATATATCTGTGGAATGGCTGGGGTGGGGCAAAGAGCTCTTCTCTGCTGGAGCTAGGTGGGAATGTTTCAACTGACCACCTTCATTAGCATTGAAAGGCCTGGCTGAGCCTGGGAAAATCTTTTGTTGATAGGTGTTAAGATGTGCCTGGTTGTTTCCTCTCTGCTGTTTTGCTGTTGTAATTTTAGAGTTTTTTTTAATACTGGTAGGGAGGGAGGGGGCTCACCTGGGGATGCTCAAGGGAGAGACCCCCTTGAAGGAGAAGGGGGAGGAGGCATGAAAGTGTGAAAGAGGGGCATAAGCAAGACACAGGCTGGATGTCCATCTGTCCAGATGAGCTTTTTTTTGAAGTTTACAACAACATTTTTTATAGAACTCCAATATGCTGATGACAACGTCGTCTGTGCGCATTCAGAAGAAGACAACTCTCAACACCTCCGCAGAAGCAGACGAGAAGCTCAGCCTCTCATTGAACGTCAAGAAAACCAAAGTGCTCTTATTGAGGCCGAACACGGAACTCCCTGCCTTCAAGTTGATCTGACCCGCAGCAGGGAGTTCCTCAGTTCTCCATTGCCCCGCTTATTAAGATCTTTTGGAGGGGCCCTGCTCTCAGTCCCACCACCTTCGCAATCACATTCGGTGGGGACGAGGGACAGGGCCTTCTCGGTGGTGGCTCCCCGGCTTTGGAACTCCCTCCCACTAGAGATTAGATCTGCTCCCTCCCTCCTGACTTTCAGGAAACTAATAAGGACCTGGCTCAGGAGGGAGGGAGGGGGCTCACCTGGGGATGCTCAAGGGAGGGACCCCCTTGAAGGAGAAGGGGGGGGAGGCATGAAAGTGTGAAAGAGGGGCATAAGGAAGACACAGGCTGGATGTCCATCTGTCCAGGGAGCTTTGATGGTGCCTTTTTTTTGAAGTTTACAACATTTGTTATAGAACTCCAATATGCTGATGACAACGTCATCTGTGCGCATTCAGAAGAAGACAACTCTAAACACCTCCGCAGAAGCATACAACAAGCTCAGCCTCTCATTGAACATCGAGAAAACCACAGTGCTCTTATTGAGGCCGAACACGGAACTCCCTGCCTTCAAGTTGATCTGACCCGCAGCAGGGAGTTCCTCAGTTCTCCATTGCCCCGCTTATTAAGATCTTTCGGAGGGGCCCTGCTCTCGGTCCCACCACCTTCGCAATCACATTCAGTGGGGACGAGGGACAGGGCATTCTCGGTGGTGGCTCCCCAGCTTTGGAACTCCCTCCCACTAGAGATTAGATCTGCTCCCTCCCTCCTGACTTTCAGGAAACTAATAAGGACCTGGCTCAGGAGGGAGGGAGGGAAGGAGGGAGGGAGGGGGCTCACCTGGGGATGCTCAAGGGAGGGACCCCCTTGAAGGAGAAGGGGGAGGAGGCATGAAAGTGTGAAAGAGGGGCATAAGCAAGACACAGGCTGGATGTCCATCTGTCCAGGGAGCTTTGGTTGGGCCTTTTTTTTTTTAAGTTTACAACATTTGTTATAGAACTCCAATATGCTGATGACAACGTCGTCTGTGCACATTCAGAAGAAGACAACTCTCAACACCTTCTCAGAAGCAGACGAGAAGCTCGGCCTCTCATTGAACACTGAGAAAACCAAAGTGCTCTTATTGAGGAGGAACTCCCTGCCTTCAAGTTGATCTGACCCGCAGCAGGGAGTTCCTCAGTTCTCCATTGGACCAACCGAATGAATGTGGGCACAGCAGCAGCTGCAACTCAGAAGCCTACTTCTATTTCTATGCTTTTTCCCCTTTCCTAACATTGTAACTAATCCCCCCAATAAAAAGTATCAATTAATTGTAACTTTTTCTCTCCATTGTGTTACTTTGTGTCCTTTACTGCCTCAAAACTTCTCTCTCAATAAACCTTTCTTCTCCCGGGCTGTAGATGGCTGCCGGCCTTCCTGGGATGTGATTTTTGCATCCCTGGGAGGCCAAAACTGCATTCCCTTAAACCGCGGATACGGAAACTCCTCGGGCCCCCGTATCCGCGAGTCAACAGATTGCTTCAAAAATGGTGTCATTCTTCTCCTGGGAGAATTCTAAGACTAATGGCTATCTCAGTTTCACTCCGTTGCCCCTTCTGCCCCAGGAATAACCTTTTTTTACCTCTGAAACCCCAACCTGTTTTTCCAAAGACGTTGCCTCGCTGCCACCATTTTGTGGATGTCCAAGGAGCCTGCTGATCCTGGGAAACTGTCGCGGTCAACCCATGGGATCCCTAAGATGTCAGCGGGCCACCCTGGTCCTTGGTGTAGAGGGATCTGTAGTTCTCTCCATGGATTTAGATCTTCAGCGTTGGTGGACGGTTCTCTGACGTAAGGCACCAAGAGACCTCCTGAGCCTATCTAACCCAACCCCCTTTATTCTGCCTTCATGCAGGAAAAGCACCATCAAAGCATCCCTGACAGATGGCCATCCAGGTTTTGCTTCAAAGCCTCCAAGGATTTACTTATTTATTGTGTTTATGAAGCAGAGGCTGGATGGCCATCTGTCTGGGGTGCTTTAATGGTGCTTTTTCTGTATGAAGGCATAATGAAGGGGGTAGGGCTAGATGGCCTCAAGAGGTCTCTTGGTGTTTACATCATGGCAGAATGAAGAGGGTTGGACTAGATGAGCTCAAGAGCCCAACGTATAAATATGTGAGAGGAAGCCACAGGGAGGAGGAGGGAGCAAGCTTGTTTTCTGCTTCCTTGGAGACTAGGACGCCATGGAACAATGGCTTCAAACTACAAGAGAGGAGATTCCATCTGAACATGAGGAAGAACTTCCTGACTGTGAGAGCCGTTCAGCAGTGGAACTCTCTGCCCCGGAGTGTGGTGGAGGCTCCTTCTTTGGAGGCTTTTAAACAGAGGCTGGATGGCCATCTGTCAGGGGTGCTTTGATGGGGCTTTTCCTGCATGAAGGCAGAATGAAGGGGTTGGACTAGATGGCCTCAAGAGATCTCTCCTAAATAAGATTATATGGTTCTGTCTAGGTCTCCCCCAACTCTAGAACCCGATGACTCTATCTATATCTATCTCCTTCCTTGGAGGCTTTGAAGCAGAGGCTGGATGGCCATCTGTCCAGGGTGCTTTGATGGTGCATAAAGGAATAATAAAGGGGGTTGGGCCAGACCAGGTATGGGCCAACTTGGGCCCAACCTACCTCCAGGTGTTTGGAACTTCAGCCGTAGGCTCTTAGGAATTATGGGAGTGGGACACAGACTGAACGTCCATCTGTCGGGGGTGCTTTGATTGTGCTTTTCCTGCATGAAGGCAGGATAAAGTAGGTTGGACTAGATGGCCTCAAGAGATCTCTCCTAACTAAGAATCTATGGTTCTGTCTAGGTCTCCTCCAACTCTAGAACCCGACGACTCTATCTATCTATATCTATCTCCTTCCTGGGATCAATAACACATTAAATAAATCCTTCCTTGGGAGTGCTTTGATTGTGCTTTTCCTGCATGAAGGCAGAATGAAGGGGTTGGGCTAGATGGCCTCAAGAGATCTCTCCTAACTAAGAATCTATGGTTCTCTCTAGGTCTCCTCCAACTCTAGAACCCGATGACTCTATCTATCTATATCTATCTCCTTCCTGGGATCAATAACACATTAAATAAATCCTTCCTTGGAGGCTTTGAAGCAGAGGCTGGATGGCCATCTGTTGGGAGTGCTTTGATGGTGCTTTTCCTGCATGAAGGCAGGATAAAGGGGGTTGGGATAGATGGCCTCAAGAGGTCTCTTCCAACTAAGATTCTATGGTTCTA